ATTAGAGTCTAATTTTAGAGCCGCTCATTTAGATTTATATTTAGCAGAGTGTGTCATTCCTGATTCATTCATTTTGCCCGTTATAGTCTCGTCCTATCATGAGAAAGACCACTTCTATCCTAGTTGGATGAATTTGTTCGATTACACTACCCCCACTAGGAGATTGTTATCGACCCTAACTGAATCTACCTATAGAAGTGCCCAGGTAGCTAAGAGTGTTTTCATTTCTCCCCCTACCCCAGTTCCCTTAGACCGAACACTTTAAAACCACTCTTTTTGTGACTAGTCCACTTTTTTCTAGCTATGTGCTCGTGTGAGTTAGTATGTTGTTGTGTGTGTTTTGTAGTCTGTTGTCTTCCAAAGTTTTCTTTGTTTAAAATTTGTGTGTGAATCCATATGTCATTCATCTTGCATATCAAGTCTCTTGCACCACCTCATGTTCATCTTGTTGAGTCTTGAGTTTTAGATATATAAATTCACATAGCACATGTCGCATTTACATTACATCTGCATGACTTTCTTAAGAAAATTGCACGCCTAACTGAATAGAGCAATAATAAGTATAAATTTTATGCTGATTCTAAACGACAATTTAAATCTATTAAAGTTGGTAACTCAATAATGGTACGGATTTGTCCGAGAAATTACATGCTAGAAGTGCAGATCATTTAGAATAGTCAATAAAATCAATAACAACGCTTGCGTGGTGGATCTGCTATGTGAATTTATATGTTAAACATTTATTCCTTTTCTAATATAAGAGATTTAGTAGACTTTGAAGGTCCGGAGTTAAACCCCCAAATCCAATTCAAATTAAGCCTTGTGTGACTCCGCCTTGTGAGAACCCCAAAACCTACCTCCACTCCCAAAATTATTCCCAAAATTCCTATAGCGGAGAAGGTTGACATGATTCCTAGTGATGATATTATTTCAACAAAAGAGGGTGGACGTAGAAGATACTTGACTAGGTGAAGAGGTTAACCAAAGTCAGAGGATACGTGGTCAGAGTGCGAGGAGCTACAACAGATAAACCCAGATGCACGAGGAGTTTTCGAGACACCAACTCGACGGAGTCGAGTTTTTCTCCCACCTGGGGAGAACGATGAGGACATCGAAGATCAACGGCTACGATCGTGTCTATTTATTTTGATGTGTTTATTATTTATACTTTTCCATTTCTACCCTCACTTGAGGGTTTTGTTTTATGTTTGCCCTAAGGGTAATTTTGTCTTTTTATTTTCCTTCATGTATTTGGCTATTTAAGCCCTCCCCTTCCTCTTAGAAAGGGATGATGATTATTGATAATGAAAAGTTTTATGTTCTTGTTGATCTCTTAGTGAGTTCACGTGATCTCTTAGTGAGTTCATGAGAGGAGAATCCCGAGTAGGGTAATTCGCAATACCCGTCAATCTTTGGAAGTGTCCGAGGTTCGCGGTTCTTATGATCTCTGTGTGAGTTCGTAAGTTATCTCTATCTTTCTCGTATATTCTTGTTCATCTCCTTTCTCCCCTCTTCAAGCAACATTCTTCTTCCTCCACCACAACCAGGCCACGGCTAGCTGTCCAAGCAGCCCTAGTCTCCCTATAATTGCTACCCAGAGTTCTGTCCACCTCAAAGGATTGCTGTCCTGCAATTTTCAGCAAGGTAGTTCGATGTCCAGGTTGCTGGAACGGTCCCACTTGCTGTCCAGAATTTCTGGATATTGATAGATTGCTGTCCCAAGAACTCTAGTAAGAAGGGGTTGTCAAAGTGCTATCCCAAACGGCCAGAAAATTCGTTGTGCCGTCCATCCCTCCCCAAACACTCAAAAGACCACGTCGGAGCTCCGCATTTGTCTTCCCTTGGTAAACTTTTCTTTCTACGTTTATATCTTCCTAATTCATCCTTCAAGTGTGGTTATATTTGTAGTCACAAAGCTCATGTCAAGCTTTTCACCGCTAAAGCCTAGTAATTAGAAGAGTTGTGTGAGGGATCCTTCATATCCTAATCTTATTGTTAGTATTGGAATTTATTGTTGGAACAATCTACGTATGCAATGTTGGATTAAACTGGCTATCTTTTGAACTTAACTTCTATGCATGAGAATTAACCTAAGCTAAGTACCACTTAATATTTATCTTATCGTTCAATTCCGCATAAGATCTTGCCTATTATGGCCTCTAAATCTAAGCGTGCAAACTTTCATTAAGAAAATCATTTTCGCATGGGATTGTTTCACATCACTACTACTAGGGAGCCATCGAGAGGGAAACTCGAAGGTAAAAGTTCTATTTGTTAAGTGTCGGATTATTGTTACTTACATATTTGTCTTATTATCGTCTTGTTATTGTTTTGAATCGCTCTGTAAATCTACCATGTAACCGCATGTTAGAAGTAAGTCAATAACTACGAAATCTAAAAATCTTTAATGAAACATTAATCTTATAAATTCATTGCTAAAACAAATTTTTTAATAAAATCCTGTAATTTCGTTGATTGTTTCACATCACTATAGGTTCAAAAAAGCACAAATATGCAAAAAATCTCTTAAGCCATGAGATAAGAGCTAAAATTATACAACCTATTAAAAGGAACCCTCTTCTGTTCATCCTATCTTCCAATTTGTGGTTTATTCTTGACGATACTTGCATTCATTCTTGATGTAATAAAACATGCATCCATTAGTACAATAGGTCATCTTCTGTGCTTTTAGACTTATTTTGGAGATTAATTGATGGGGACATCGAAGTTTGGAAAGTCTAACAGAGGCGCGGCCGCAAATCCATGGCCACAATCGCGCAAATATATTTTTAAGTTGTCATATGTATTTGTTTTTATTTATATATGTTTGCATTTACTTTTAGTTATTTTCCCCTTTTACTCCTTAAGGGTGGTCATGTGTAAGCCCAAAGGGCATCGTCGTCTTTTGTTTTTGAGTCCATTGTATGAGACTATATATAGCCCTTATGTTCTCTTTTCATGGTGAATGAATGAATGATAAAATTTTCCTGTGTTTAACTTCTTGTGAGAGCTTGAGAGAGATTAGAGAAAGACCCCTTGGAGAGGGATTCAGATCACCCACCAACCTTAGAAAAGTCCGGGTTCGTGGTTAGTTTATTTTTTTATTGTTCTAATATTCATCCTTATTTCTTCCTCTAAGCCATGGTTCACCAATCTCCACCAGTCGGCTTCATCCCACCACCACCCTAATCAAGCCCTTTTCCCCACCTAGCCGTCGCCCATTTCATCCAAAACCCAGCGGCAAGCCCATCCAAGCCGCCAGCTCCCCTTGGGGATTTCCCCTCTTGGCTTGTGTTCAAACCTTTCCAATTGGGTCCTGCTATGATAGGAAATTATTTAATTCATATTTAAATTTAATTTGAATTTGAATTGTTTCCTAAATTATGAAACCTATTTTTTGGAAAGTTTCCTAATTTAAATCCTATTTGAATTTAAAAATCAATTGAATTTAAATACACATTTCCAAATATTTGAATCCAAATCAAGCAACTTTAAATGCTTTCCCTAAATCTCTCTCCCTCCTATGGAAGCACCCCCCCCATTAACCCCTTTGATTTCTTTCCTAATTGCTAGCACCTCCTTTCCTAAACCCTAAACCCTAAACCCTATACCCTATACCCTAATACCCTAATACCCTAAACCCTAATACCCTAAACCCTAACCATGACCCTGACATACCAGGCTAGGAAGGTTAGTTTTGTCGAGATGAAACTCACGGGTAGGGCGAGTCAGTTTTGGTCCAATTTAAAAAGCCTTAGAGAAGCCAAAAATGACTATCCCATCACTGATTGGTCTTCCATGAAGCGCAAACTTAAGCAGAAGTACTTGCCTTCCTCGTACTTCCCTAGGTTGTTGGATAGGTGGAATAGGTTGAGTAAGGGCTACAAACCAGTTAAGTAGTACATTGCGTCCTTTGATGACTACCTGATTCGCTGCAAAGGGGATTCCTCTACCAACCCCATGCAAATCCTATCTATGTTTCATACCGGGTTGCGAGAAGAACTTCGCAACAAACTTTTTGCCCGGAACGTTACTACACTTGAGAACGCCTACAACTTAGTGCTAGATTTGGAGGAAACCCGTTCCCAACACCCGAGCGATCCCATGACTCTAGGCCTTCCTACAGACCCACCGGTATTTCCACTCCTCACACCTCCACTGCCCGACAGACCCCAAGGAGCACTACCCGACCACCTACTGGTCCTCCTACACCCCGATCTGATGTTAGGAAACCTCCCACCCTGGATACCCCTAGGTCCAATCCCGGGACCAAGTGCTTTCAATGCCACGGGTATGGGCATATCGCTTCTCAATGTTCCAATCCCTATAAAGTCTCGATTATAGAGGAAATCAGTGACGAAGATTTTGAGCCCACGGTCGATCAGAACCATCAAGTGGAAGATGAGGGCGAATTCTTCGAGGAGGATGATGACACTGCTCTCCTTCATTGCCTTCAGAAACTGGACACTTCACCCATCTGCGTGGTGAGATGTGCGCTGTCACAAAAAAGTTCATAGCCTGCCAAAGCAGCACAGTAAAAAAAAGCATATGATGTTCTAGTTTGTTATCTTAGCCACGTTGCACACACTGCAACACCAAGTGGATCTAAAAAAAGTAATAGCTCTCCATTCAACAATAAACCTTCTGGATATGTCGTTCGCATTGACATAGTTGGAGCTGACATTGCATTAGTTACCACTAATCCAGTTGTACATTTCACAGTGGAAGATGTATAAATCTATTTTTTTTTAAATTAAAAAAAAACAAATAAAAAAAATATCTTTCGAGAAATATTTATTCGCATTTATCTGTAGGCATGAGATATACAATATAACAGTGAACATAAACAATACAGTGGTGTAAAATAAGCAAGACAAACTGTAAATTTTCCATAAGAGTAATATTACTTACATATTCAAACACTAGAACGGTGCAATAGCAGATTCAAAATCAGTAACTGAAATTTTCAAAAAGCAACAAATCTGCATCTTCGAACTAACCTGATTCATGTCAATGGTTTGAACTGCACTACCGCGGGTAAATATGATGGCATGGTTTTGATTTTCAGGTTTACCTTCACCAAGCTTCGGATTTCCAGGCAATTTGACTGAATATACTTCCTAAACAGCAGTTTTCCATAGCAAAATAAATTAGGAATGCGAGGATAAATGGACACGCAGGAAAAATAAACATAGATTTATCTACAGAATCACACATTCTGAAAACGGAAAATATGGAACCAATAACAGGAAAGGAACAACATCATTATCTGATGGTTTGCTATCTAATCAATCTGGTCAAGATTGCCGCAGCAAAACATGGAACATCAAAATTTTAACTTTAATAAAAATAACAATGTAGTAACATATTAGGAAGATTTTTGTAATAGAAAGCTTGATAGCAGAGTTAATAATGAACTTCTTCACAAAAGATTAAAACTTGGGTGCATAAAAATGCCAAAATAGAATAAAAATACTGCAAACACACAGATAATGACATCAAAGGGACTCAGGTACCCTTATCTTCTAATTGTAAAATGCAGGTCCTATTCAGTAAAATTCTACTACATGGCAAAGTTTACGTCAAGGAGTGAACAGCTTGGTGGGAAATTAAATGAAGAAAATGTTCAAAAGATTACAAACAATTTTAATTGGTGTGAAATGAGAAATTAGAAACAAATATCATTAGAAGACAAAGGGGTCCCTGGAGCAACAGATTGATGAAATTTGGATCTATTACTAATGGAAAAAGTAGATCAAAAGTTCAATAAGACTTGCACAAAATAGGTTTAATACTTCATCCAATACTAAATAAAAAGAAAACAGAAAATAATGATCCATAAAGCCGACCCCAAAATAGTTGGCATAAGACTAACAAAGATGATGAATTATTCAAACTAATTTAAACTAGTAGATGACAATGGAACATCTCAAAAAAAATTTCAAAATTCCTAATTTGCTACAACAAATAAAGCTTTATCGCTTATTGAGGAACTACAAGAATCTTCCAAGCGTAATAATTATGCCATTAATTTTTTATTGCACGACCAGTCCTTTGAAGAATGTGATACAATAAGAGTTGAAAATGAAGAGAACAACCAATTACATCCAGTAACTTCAGAAAGAAGTTCAAGCGTCCAAGCCTTCAAATATTAAGATAAATGTTATGATATACCGGAATACAATAAATATGCATATTCTGATATTAAAAAAATGTTTACCTTATCCTTCCCATGGATATCAGCTTTGACAAGTTTTGAGAAATACTCGGTGTATGTTCTACCGTCCTTTAAATTCTCAACTACATCAATGTATGCAACTCTAAGTGCTTCATTTCTGTTAATCATACAGCATGAAATGGCAGCAGTTAAAAGAACGCAACCCAGAGAAAAATAAACAAGTAAATTTATCATGGGACATGTAAGAAATGTTGACTGCACAACCGTTGCATCAATAGTGAAATATCTGCAGCCTCAGGCTTCCCTTCTTCCCTTTGTTTTCCATATATTTGACATGTCACAACATAAGTAAACTTTATATCTGCCTGAGCACGAGCCTCAGGAGATAATTCAAAACCCTGAGTTTCACTTAAGACACTGTTATTAACTGTAAATTCTGAGCCTGCAATTCCCCAAAACATTTATCAGTCAACTAATGACTCTCACGGCAAAAACAAAACAAAAAAAAAAATCATACCTCCGGAGCTAAGCCTCTCCAAATAGCTTTGAAGCATAAGAGCTTTTCGATAATACATCATACCGCGAACTGCACCAAGTAAAACAGGAAATAACATGTTATGCTTAAAATCTCTACAAATTAAACTACATAAATGAAAAATGTCAGAAACAAAATGCACCGTCTAATTTATAAAGTCAAATTCTTACAAGTTTTTAAACCTTCATTCATATTCTGTATAGCAATATATATATATATATATAACAATCTGATGGAGTAATATGTAAACATTAGCAACTCATCGTCTCTAATAAAACTTGAAAAAAATAGACTACGTGAGATTCGTTTATCAATTGATACTTTTTGATCATCATGAAAACCTAACAACACCAGGAAAAGCTTTCTATAGAAAGTCTGAATACACTTTATTAGCAGCTACAAAATGAAAGCTGAAATTCTGATTTCTAAGAAAGTTAGAACTCAAAACAAGTTGTCGACCTTTCAAAGATGTGCGCTATCAATGTGTGAAATTCAGTTAACAAACAGTAACTTCCACAAAATGTATCCAATAATATATAACGCTTCCTTAAATGGATTTCAAACATTAATACATCTCAATAAAAACAAGATAAATTAAATGTAAATTCTCATCATCATAATTAGCCTTCTCCAACTAATTGAGATTGGTTTTATGAATACCCATTCTTCATTCCATCTTGTTGAGTTTTGTTTGAAGTGCTAAATTTATTATTTACAAATATCTTTACCGACCTACCCTTAGCCTATCCAATTTTTCATTCATAATCCTTCAACATTAATTTTAACAATATATCGTACTGGTGCATCTTATGCCTTGCATTGACTCCCACAATCCCTCTCATTTAATTTAAAAAAAAAAAATCTTCATTTTAAATATTAGTATCGGATAAATTTTGTCATCCACAACAGATTGCATATTTTGTGATCAAGAACAACATAAAAATGATATACTATCCTAAAGTCAAAAATATCATTTCTTTATAGACTCAATAACAAAATTAACAATTTTAATTTTAATAGAGATTTTCCCTCATTCAAGATTTGACTGAATGGGGTTTATTTATTCTGAGATATAGATGCCCCATGGGGGTAAGTCTATACGGTTAATTACATCTCAAATATTTAGTACAACAACAACAACAACAACATCAAGCCTTTATCCCACTACGTGGGGTCGGCTACATGAATCATTTTTCTCCATTGTGTCCTATTAAAAGTCAAATTCTCGTTTAAATCTAATAAAGAAAGGTCATTCCTAATATTTTCTAACCAAGTCTTTTTAGGTCTACCCCTACCTTTCTTAACATAAGTCAAATCTAATACCTCTACTCTCCTAACCGGGTCATCGCAAGGCCGCCGTTTTATGTGAACAAACCATCTAAGGCGACTTTCTCTAATCTTATCTTCTACTGGAGCAACTCCAACCTTTTCACGTATATGCTCAAAATTATGTGTTTCTATGTGAAAAAAAAAAGGATTTAGTTGGTCCTAACTTTTATTCTGCTTGTTTGGTGTGTTCGTTGTAGTATCATATGCTAATATTAATAATATCAGCATTTCTAATGCTTGAAACCTTCTTTCCCAATTCCCTACCCATGTTCAACAAGCTATCAAAGCTATTTCTATTAAGGAATCTTCGGTCGTTCCTCTGATTTGGCTTGATTCTGAGCAACCCAAGTCTAAAGAATTTTTGTGTAATTTTTTCCTAGATTGGCAGCAAGTTTCTTGCTATAAATTTTGGTAGCATAGACATTATGCACTTAGCTATTCATCTTATACCTGGTTGGCTTTGGCTGGAGAACTAAAAATTGTTAATAATCTCTTTCAGAGAAATATTCAAGTTCTACCTCTTCGCAATTTTTGTAATTACATGTGACTACTTTAAAACTTTATCTAATCTGATTCCTGGGATGAGCTTCAGAGAGATTATTCTGTGCGGACACCGGACGGGAGAACCGTCCAGTACCGCTTGGTACAGAGAGCGGTACCGGGTGTATCGAAGCTCGGTACTGCTTGGTACCGTGTTTGATACTGAGCGCGGTACACTTTTGAAGTGACATGACACATATTTATTTACCTTTGGATGACATCCGGACTCCGCAGAGAATAATTTGCCCCTTTCTCATGAGATCAAATTTACTAAAAGTATTTGAGTACATTTCTGGCATAGAGCATCTTCACAGTCCAAAAATAGTTTTATTATTTAGTCATTTCTCGTCTCTATATCACATCTAGAGAGAGAGAGAAATGCAAGGAGGTTTGGTACAAATTTTGACAGCATCACTACTGTTTGCTTTAAAATTAAAAAAGTTATTCGACATCAGCTTGCTGGGTGGAAACATGTGGAACTTGTGAGCTCTCTTATTGCCTGACTGTGACTATTTTTGTTGCTTCTCTCTTCTCAATTTTCATTTATGTTAGTTGGGCTCTTATGATGGGCTTTGGTGGCTGTTTTGCCGGTGGTTGGCAAGCATTTTTGACTTGTCCTGGTTTCGTTTGGATTTAGGCTGCACTGCTCATCTTTCAAAGTTTTGGTTAATCTGATGTCAACGGGACTTGGACTTTTCTTGTCTTTTGGTTTAACTAACATTCCCTGTTGGCATGAGAGGACGGTGAGGCATGGTATACATCTATTTTGCTGCCTCTTGGATGATCTTCGCGGCAACCATTATCTGCTTTTTGGCAACCTGGGGAATATCTCTACTACTTCATATTCTTATGTTGACTTATGCTTCTTTGGGACTGTTTTTTTTACTGTAAAAATTTTAATTTTAATCCTCATGCACAGACAAAAATCTTAAGATCTAAAATCTTATTTCCAAAAATATTTTTGTTAATATTCTTTAAATGCCCCCATTTAATCTTAGAAAATTGTTTTACTTTATTTTTTATTTTATGCCCCTTTATCTTAAAGTCCAAAACTAATAATCGATGTTGGGTACATAAATTTTCACTCGGAATAACTTTACAATCTTTGCAATCTAAACGATTTAATACATGAGAAAATTTTTTATTAAACAAGTTATTTTCTTTCTTTTGAAAATCATCAAAATATTAGAATAAGGCTTTCATTTTAAAATTCATGAAATTCTTGTTTAAAGATTTTTTTTTTACTTTAGGAATTTCAAGGATGAGAGGATCAACTTTGATTGGAGTTCTTGGAATGAGGCACAAAGAGAGGAAGAGTAGTACTTGATTCTAAGGGGAAATTCAAAGGTACTCAAAACTATCATATATTGGGCTTTACATTTTATAGTACAATTTTTGTTTAAGTTGACACTTTTAATTTAGAATATTAGGGCTTACATTCCAACAATGTGTAGGAGGAAATGGCTGGAAGGTGAGGGCTTATGAAGTGATTAAAACCAACAACTGACTCGGATCCTGTAACTAAGATGAGGACTACTGAGAGACAGTGCCTCAAACATAAGTCTAATAGAGTGCAAGGAGGGCTTACAAAGTACACCTCATATGAGGCATAGCCAGCCCAACTTATTGATTTATTTCTCTGCTTAAAAAGGGCTATCAGCTAACCCATCTAGCCACTTTTTGGTTATTTGATTCTTAAGTGCAGGCTTTTCTACATGAGACTCACTGAGCTATACATGATTATTTTAATTTCCCTGAAGGGAGCCATACAATTTTTCTTATATTAAAAATTCATGAAGTCTAAAGTTGATTTTAAATTGTTTACATTTTAATAGGCAAAAAAAATAATTTTGCCCTAAGAGCCTAACGTACCAACATGTCCAGGCCACCACCAAGCAAAATAAGAGAAGAAACCTAAAAAAAAAGCATATTTTTTTAATGTGCAATCAAGTAAAAAAATAAACACATGCTTGCAAATATAAATCAACCAAAACAAAAGTGCAAACAATGTCCTAGTTATTAGAATCAAAATTGGCAGCTTCAAGTTGTCAGTCATTATCACATTCAACAGGTGCATCCTCTCGATCGACCTCTCCTTTAACTGAACGCCACAAGTCTAACACACAACTTTTAAATCTATCTAATACATATTTGAAAAGAAAAAGACACAAAACCTACAAGACAAAGGATTATGAATAGTTTATATATAAAGCACGAGCAATCATCCAGAATTGTCTAGCACTTAAAGTGTCAAGCACCTGCTTCTACCCTATTAGCCACGTCTGTGTGTGTGTGTGTGTGACGTGGGGGTTGGGGGGGGGGGGGGGGGGGGGGGGGGAGTAAGCACCACCTATAATGCAAGCATTTTATATTTGTGATTTATTTGCAACCCCATTTTAGACATGGTCACCTGCAAGAAAGGATGACATGTATAGATGTGGGTTACAAGTCATGATGAATTTCCTTTGAACTTTTAGTTGTTCAAGGAAGAAAGTTTCATTCTTCCAACTTGAGTTGGAGGGATGAAAGGAAGGAAATGCAATATAGGAGTTGCAAATTGAAGGATATTCTCTGAACTTTTGGTGTTAAAAAAGGAGATACATGCTCTCCTAATTTGAGTTTAGGAGAATGTAAGTGTTCGTTCTGGAAAAATATATCGATGTGAACCTCGCTCTCACAAGCTTAAGGTTACTTATTTTCCTTAAGGTGAATTTCAAATATAGGAGTTACAAATTGAAGGATATTCTCTTAACTTTTGGTGTTCAAAAAGGAGATACATGCTCTCCTAATTTGAGTTTAAGAGAATGTAAGTGTTCGCTCTGGAAAAATATATCGGTGTGAACCTCGCTCTCACAAGCTTAAGGTTACTTATTTTGCTTGAGGTGGATTGAAATTTAACATTTAACTAGATTTCCCTTGAGAGTAGCTTCAGGGTTTATTTAAATCTAGGTCCTACTTCCGATGAGCGCAAGCCCTCATAGTTAATTACCTCTCCTAACGCATTACAAGAATACTCTCGATTAAGGATGGAATATATTTAATTTGTGCAAGAAATGTGGAAATGTGCAACAGTGTTTTAATCTTAATTATGGGAATGAAGGTACACTTGATTTGAACAGATTTTGGGAGATTCGATCAATTTGAGTTTAATTTAATTAAATTGAGGTCTGATTAGAGTAAATTGATGTTAGATGACGATTGATTGAGTCGATCGAGCGCGATCGATTCCAATCGGGCTCGAATCGGCTCGATCTGGACTGAATCAGCCTCGATGCGAAAATATACGACAACAATTAGTTATCCACCTGAACATTTCATTTTTTATCAAACTCAACTTGACTGTTAGTAGCTTCTTTGATAATTAACTTCTTAGATCCATCACTTTCCCGTTGTCAAATAAGCCTATGTGTTAAGCTAAAATGTAATCACCATAACTTTGTGTTTCATGCTGAAACAATTTTATTTAATAGAGAGATATATAAACTACTGCCCATGCCTATCAAAATAACAAGTTAGTTCTGCACATAATTCTTGCTATATATATATAAGCTTATGCATTAAGCTAAAAGGTAATCACTATAATTGTGTATTTCTTGCTGAAATAATTGTATTTAATCGATTTATAAACTACAGTCCATGTCTATCAAAATAGCATGTGAGTTCTGCACATAAAAATAATGCATCAACTTAAGTATAATAAGTAGGGGAAAATCAGCATCAATTTGAAAAGGAATAATAACAAGAAAGGATTTCCATGTCAGCTAAATCTAAAATGATTGAAAAAAGGAAAAACATGATAAACAATGGAAAAAATAGCCACAAGACACTAAATAACATACCCGTGCGTGCTAAAGTTTGTCCACGATAAGAAGCCCAAAACCGGAGCTCAAGAATATCATTTGAATTGTCAAATAGCTCAGAGTCTGCAGCATTTTCATCTCTTCCTATCCGAGAAAGAAAGTTCTTCCACTCATCTAATTAAACGCAGGCTCACTTTAGAAAACTAAAACGGTATCACTAAACATTGCAAATGATTTCCCTAGCATTACAGACCAGTATTTCCGAATAGGAAGTCAAATAATGGCATTCAAAGTCAGTTGGATGGTAAAACTACGCACAGCAATATTCAACAGAAAAGCAATAAATGATTTATAAAAGAAAAGAATAAATATCTATCCACAAAATTTCCATGCTAAACCATCCATGAAGTTATCGTTGAAAGAAAACAGGCTTAAAGATATCCACAATCATCAGTTTGGAATGTCTAAAATAGTTCGAGGCCAGAAGCAATATGCAATACAATTTCCTTTGTCTTCTGAAGAGGAGATACTTTTGTTCTTCTGTAACGTTTCTTATTTGGCATTCTTCTTCTTCCTGGTCTCCTCCCTTCAAACACAACCCACAAAAAAGACTATCATTTGGCATTCTTCTTCTTCCTGTTCTCCTCCCTTCAAACACAACCCACAAAAGAGACTATCCAAGACGTCGAAAGTGGGGTGGTCAAAAAAGGAAAAGAGGATGGGAATAGGAACGTTAGAAGGATAAAAAACCTACAAAAGATTAACCATTGAAGATTATAAACGAAGAGTACTAATCAAACAACAAGATAAGTGGGTTTGGAGGGATAATGTGGTAAAAATTAATAAAACTAGAGATAGAATTATGATTTTAAAGATTGTTGTTGATACTAAAATTATTAACATTTTAAGTGTTCAAGCTTCTTAAATACGTTTGGATATGTGATCAAAATTAAAACTTTAGAATGAATTAGAAAAATTAATATAAAATATACCTCTTAAAAAAAGATTTTTTATTTGAGGAGAATTAAATGGATATGTTGGTTGAATGATGGAAGATTTAAAAAATATTCAGGGTGGCTATAGGTTTGGAGATACAAATAAAGTTGATAGGATCATATTAGATTCTGTTCTAACTTATGATTTCGTGATTTCTTATACCTTATTTAAGAATAGTGAGTAGCACCTCATCACTATAAGAATGTATATAGTAAAACAAAAATTGATTATTTTCTTATAAAAAAAATAGATCGTTTAGATTTCAAAGATTGCAAAGTTATTATGAACAAAAAATTTATATAATCAGCATCACTTATTAAGCTTAGACTTTAAAATGAAGGGGCGGAATATGAAAATTTTTTTTAAAAAAAAAAAAAACAATTCCTAGGACGATATTGGGTATTTAAAAAAAAACTAACAAAAATATTTTTGAGAGTAAAAATCAAAATCTTAAAATTTTGACTATGCATCAGGAAGATAATATTATGTAAAAAAAAGTAGATAATGATATTGCAAAAGATGTGTTTAGAGTATTAAAAAAAATCCCTAATAGTAAAAATAGTTGATGGTGAAATCAAAATGTACAAAAAAAGATAAAAAAAAATAAGAAGCTTTGTTATAAAAATTGATGTTGATGTAAAAGCTTGGAAATTTAGCAAATATATAAATGGGTCTGTAAGAAATCTATGAAAATAATTTGAGATGCAAATAATTTAGTTTTTAATGATTTATATAATAAATTAGATATTAAGTAACGTGAAAAATGTTTGTATAAACTAACCAAACAAAGAGATAGAAAAACTAAGCATTTATTTCAAGTAGAGTTCATGAAGGATGAAAATTAAAAAAGTGTTTTTATTAGAAGAGAATACTCAACAAAGGTGGATGAGATGTTTCGAAAAGCTTTTCAATAAAGATTGTGAAAACACAAATGACTCTAGTGACCTTAGCACTCTACATAAAAATAGAAATTTTTATTTTTATCGTCGTATTAGTAAAACCTAAGTTAAAGAGGGCTTAAAGAAAATGATGAAAAAGCGGTTGCACCTGATAATATTGCAATAGCGGTGTGGAAATGCTTAGGAGAGATAAAGGAATTTCTTGTCATACAAAACTTTTCAATATAATTTTGAAGACTAAAAAGATGCAAGATAGCTAATAAGGAGTGTATTGATTCTTATTTTTAAGAATAAAGGTGATGCATAATAGTGTGTGAATTATAAGGGAATTAAGTTAATGTGTCATACTTTAAAACTATTAGAGAGAGTTATTAAGCATAAGCTACGAACCGAATTAAACTAGGAGATCACTTATTTTAGCGTAAGAAACCGAAAAACCAAGTTATTTGGCAAGTTAATAAGAAAATTCTGTTTAAGACAAGCTTTGCATAGGCTAAACCTTCAAAAAGAGAAAAAATATAGAGCCAAAAGGATAAACCCAAAGAGTAAATTAGCTAGATGCCTACTGGAAAATAAAAATTAAATGAAGACTGGTGTTGTCTGAACAGCATGAAAGCCTCCAGTAATAAAATGTCTTGCAAAAACAATAACCTGGAAAGATCTTTTGCAGATAGAATAGCGTGGTTATCCCGTCCTCGTTCTTCTTTTGGAGCTCATCAATACTATAAAGCACAGTCTCAGAATAGTATGGGGTAAAAACACTGCAAAATGGAAAACCAAAATATATAAGATTTATTTACCAAAACAAAACCCTTACATAAATAAGAAAATATGATGTTGAATTCTAAAAAAATACCCAAATGACAACATCTCTGAAACTGGCCTAGCAGCTGGAATTCGCATAAACAGAGAGTTCGTAAAGAATTCAAGCCGACGCCTAGCCTCTAGATTTATAGGCACATTTGCTGCAGACTCTTTGATAGTCAACAAGGAATGTAATCGTTTGATCTGAGCTTTCTGCATAATTTATTTGAACTCAGTTACACATACTAAGCTTGTCAATTTTCTTGTCAAACATCACTAAACAAAATATGAAATCAGCAAACAAGAAAACATACCAACTCAGGATCTCCAGGCCATTTAAGATTAGAGAAGAGTCGGCCATCAGCCCTTGCTTTAGATATTTGATTCCAAACATCAAGGTGACCTCTTCAGAGAGAATAAATGAAGGGATTTTAAGAAACAAGGGGAAATTGTTGTGGATCCAGGATAAAATGGAAGTTATCACTCACCCCATATCCACAAAAAGAATATCATGATGTACAACATCATAAAGATCTTGCATAGCGCTGATAGCACCCTTATCAAGTTCAGGAGATGCTTCCCCTCTCTAACAAATAAACAGAATAATAGAATTGAACAATTACTATGCTTGACAAAATCTATAATATGGTGGCTTTGGTAATTGTTGCACCAATTATTCAAAATATAGAACTCTCCACCAGGCGTATCAAATATCGTCAAGAAAAAAAATATATATATATGGTAAAAGGTCATGAAAAAAGGTATAACAATGGCACATTGCACATAATTCAAAATTAATGAATCAACAGCCAGGAATCAAGACTCAGCAACAGATATTTGCATATTAAATGCTTGAAATGAAACCGTTACGTGACACATGTACAAATATTCTTCCTACAAAACAATAATATTCTTGTGCCTCACAGATGAAAAATATATATTAGTATATAATATATGTAAAACGAAACTAATGCTTACAACATAAACAAAAAATGTCACTAAACGTGATGTGGAACGAACAAGCAAGGATGATTAAATTAGGGAAGTTTGCACGCTTATATTTTAGAGCACAATACTTATAAGCTTTGTCTTGATGATAAACGACAAAATAGAAATGATAAGGTGATAAAATAGCTTAGGTCTAAAACACATGCGAGAGGTTGAGATCATGAAATAATCAACTAAGCCTTACGTTGCATACATGAGTGGTTTCAACGAGAAATTTCAATACTAACAATAAGATTAGTCTATGACAGGTCCCTCACACAACTATTCTAATTACTAGGCTTTAGCGGAGATGTATTAACATTATCTTCATGAATTTAATAATAACCACAAGCAAAGATGTAACTATGAAGATAGAGAATCTGATGTTGAGTTTACCCAAAGACAAGAGAGATACGTACTCCGGTAAGGTCGTGTGAATGTTGGAAAATGAGTGGACAGCAACCACAAGCCTTCCTTATGTTGTTGGACAGTAATCTGGAGCTTCTGGACAGCAATTAGCAAGGCTCTAGGATGCAGGACAGCAAGTGGGCAGCTCTGGTTTTGCAGGACAGCAATTATATTCTTGCTGGAATACCGAGACAACAAGCTGAACTTCAAGGCAGCAGCAGCTTTGACCTTGGGCGGGATCTGGACACCACTCCGTTAGACTTAGAAATGTCTGGACATGCTCCTTGGGTGCTGGGAGCTATGGACAGCCAGCCATGGCCTTCTTGCCGCTGGATAGAAGGGCTCACGTGAGGGATGAGGGGAGCATCAAGCAGGAATTTGGGAAAACCATTTAATTGGGAGGGATTTGAATTCTCAATTTAAAATTCAAAATAATTCCAATAAGGGTGGCTTGATTGGGCGGCAGCCAATGGGGTTTAATGAGGATCTAATGAGGTGTTTAATTGTGGCTTAGGTGGCAAAGTGGAGAGAGAAACAATGAGGGTGAGGTGGAGGAGAGAAGGGTGAGGGCTCTTGTGTAGAAAAACTGAAATTGATTTCAGTTTTAATTGGGATGGGAGGGGTTTTAATTGAAATCAATTTCAGATTTCAAAATTTGGATGGGGTGCATTGATGACAATCAATGGAGAGCCCAATGAAGGGGGCCGGCGGTATGGAGAGAGAGAGAGGGGATTAGGGAGGGAGGAAGTGCTTTCCAATTGAGTCGATGCCACCTAGGGTGAAAATTTAAAAACTCCACATGTCATGAAATTTAAATTGGATCAATTTGAAAACTTTCCTAATTAGGAATTTTCAAATATGGAAAGTTTTGAATTTCAAATTTTGAAATTCAAAATTCGGTAACTCCTTTATTTATTGCTAAGCACCCATCAAGGAGTTATGATGATGATTGGCATCTTCATCATGACTTGGAGCAAGGGGTGGCCGGCGGCCAAAGGAGGAGGGGTGGTTTTGGCTTCGGGTGGAGGTGGCTAGGAGCTAGGCCGGCGGGTGGAATTGTGGAGGGGGGATTTGGTGGGGATCAAGAGGTATTTCGGTGGCGGAATGAAAGTGGAGGGAATCGATGCAATAAGAAAATTAAAAGTAAAAGAAAGATAGAAAAACCGCGAACCTTGGATCCACCAAGATTGACGGGTATTGCTTTTGCCCTCACCGTGAGCTTTCCATAGAACTCCCACAGAGATTTATGAAAAAATGAACTCACCAAGAGATCAAGAAAATATGAACTCACAAAGAGAACACATAATAGAAATTTTCATTCATCATAATCATCATCCTTTCTAAGGGGAAAGGGGAGGGCTTAAATAGCCAAATACATGAGGAAAAGAAAAAGACATAATTGCCCCTAGGGCAAACATAACACAAAGCCCTCAAGTGAGGGTATAAATGGGAAAGTACAAATAACAAATAAAATACATGAAAATGAATAGACACGATCGTAGCCGTTGATCTTCGATGTCCTCATCAAAACGATTTTCCAAGAACTTTGCACAAAAAACCTTGTCACTTAAACATCAAAACATGGTTTAAAATTGCGCAATATGAGGCTCGCCTTGAGGCCTGCCTTTGCGCAATTCCAGTAAAAAATGCCTCGATGCTTACGCCTCGAGTTTTTTTTTATGAGGCTTGCGCCTCAACTTGGTTGAGGCCCGAATTGAGGCCCGCCTCGCCTCACTGGCATGAGGCTTACGCCTCACGCTATATATATTAAAACTTACATAAATTTTGAAGTAAATGCCCGACATTGGACTCTATAGGAGAGGAGGAAGGGGAGAGAGCAGTTCATCATAATGATGATTCAAATGAAGAACCCCTTAGTGATAACAATGCTGATGATGTATGAGTTCTTATATGATATGTCATTGCTATTTATTTTTAGAAATTGGAATTATATGTTAATGAAAAGAATTACGTGATTTTAGGAAGAGGAATTTTGAGTTACGTATATTTCAGTTGTCTTTATTTTTGGGATATTTGATGTTCAATCTTCATATCTTATGCTTTTTAATGTTTTATGATTATTAAACCGAGTGCATTGATATGTAAAACTGAAATCGGAAATTGCATGGGGAGCATAATAAAGAACAACTGAGAACGTGACGTCAATATAAGATTAACGAGCCAAAATTAAGTGATTTAAAAGAGACCAGTGCAGAATTGCTTAGGCATTGTTACAAGAGCTCATTAGCAAAAACATTGTAAAACAATAACAAACATGCGATACATGGCGAAGGCATCTGTTAACAATGATCTGTCGGGGTTAAATTGAGAAAGTCACCTTGAGTCCCTCACTTCAAGCTTATCTCTTGCGGTAATCAGCGAGAAAAGATATTAGCAACCCAAATGTGAACCACGAAGGAAGGAGGAGCTTACCAAATACTGTCCACGAAAGCCTATTAGGAGCTGAAGAATTGATGAAAGTGCAAAGGGTGTTATCCGCGAGGTGTCGCAGGAATCTTGCTACTAAGCGTCGCTTGGGACAACAATCTTTTAAACCGAAATTGCTGGACAGCAAATAGGACGTGTTAGCACCTGACATCAAACTACCTTTGCTGAAAATTCTGGACAGCAATCCTGGTGAGGGGACAGAACTCTGGTAGCAGTTACGGAAAGACTTAAGGCTGTTGGAACGCTACCGTGGCTTCAAGTGGTGCAGGACAGCAGGTTTTACCGTCGAGAAAATTCCTGGCAGCAGTTTAGCTCAGGAGACAGCAATTGTGTTCTTGTAGAAAACTCGGAACAGCCACTTGAGGGCTTGGGAAAGTCCTGAGCAGCAGCCACAAAGTACTGACTTTCTGGATAGAGTCTTCTTCTCCCAGAAGTAAAAATTAGCGATGTGTTTGCTGGAAATGGGGACAACCAGCAGAGATTCCTGGAGATGAGAGGGAGGCGTGGAGGAGAAGGCTTGGGGGTGGCGGTCCGGTTTTGGAGGGGGATGGAAACGGGGAATGAGAAAGAAAAAAAAAATCTGTATTTAATTTTCAGTTTCATTAAGCGCGAATGTTTATTGAAATTCAATTAACTCATATAGGAGTAATGGGGCCGGCGGTTACTAGAGGATTTCAGGGGAATTAAGTGTTGCTTAGGTGGCAAGTGGAGAGAGAATAGGCTGGATGGGGCCGGCCAAGACATGGGGAAGGAGAGGAAGTTATTATTAGTGGGGCCATGGAGTTAATAAACTGATTTTAAATTTCAGATTTTAATTAATTAGGGAGAATTGGAATTTGAATTCAAAATATATGGATCTCATTTAATTCTATTCTAAATGTAGTGATCATTTTAGGAAAAAGTATGAAAAGAATCAAAGCATGAATTCAAGTCTCATAGAGAGGGGCGCGGGGGATGCTACCAGGGAGAGGAGCCGATTCAGGGGGGAGACGTGGCGTGCTGGCTGGGCCGCAGTAGGCATTGCCGGCGGCAAGGAGGTCGCGGATGAAGGGGAAAAATAGAGTTTAACGGCAAGGGAGAGGGGGTTTGGCGGCTTGCTGATCAAGTGGTGGGGTGTTGGAGGGAAGCCGGCGGCTAAGGGGGAAGGGAAGAAGAAAAATAGAAAAGAGAAAGAACAAAAAACCAAGAGCTCCACCAAGGGGCTGTTGGGTATTGCGTTGAGCCTCTCCTAGGCCAATCCTCACGCGAGAACTCACAAAGAGAACTCCAGAACTCACAAAGAGATCCAAAATTTCAAAATTTTCATTAGCAATCATCATCCTCATTACATAAGAAATGGCCATATATATAGGCCTCAAAATGACAAAGGAAACGAAAGACTAAAATGCCCCTTGGGCTACAATAGAGACCAGGTACCCATAAGGGCAAAAACGGAAAACTGAAAGAAATAAAATAAACTATTACATAAAAAGACTCGAAATAAAACTCCTGATCGAGGTCATTGATCTCCGGCGTCTCCGATGGTACACGTGTCAAAATCGCTGACGATGTCCTCATCATCATTAGTATATAAAAATTTATTATTTTATGTTTACGCAATCTTTTGATTTTGAGGCTTACGCCTCAAAACGCCTTGAGGCATACGCCTCGCCTCACGAATGAAAAACGCCTCAATACCCGAATACGCAATTTTAAACATTGCATCAAAATCCCAATATACCACAATGAAGCCGGTCAAAGTATTTATATAGAAAAAATAAATGATGAGGACATCGACAGACGCTACCGGCATGTTTATCGACCAAGAAATCGCAGACCTATGGCCACAATTCATTGCCTCTACTTTTGATATATTTTCATGTTATGTTTATTTAGTTGTTTGTTATTTTCCGTATTTACCCCTTTGGGGAATTGTCTTGTTATTATAGCCCAGAGGGCAATTCGTACTTTCGCTTTTCATGTTTAGGACCTACATATACAGGTCTAATGTGTTGAAATTTTCTTTGATGAATGATTAATGAAATTTTCTTTGCTTCTTCATTTCTTGAATTAGAGCTAGAGAGAAGGGAGAGTGAGCTCAAGGTGAGCAAGTGCAAGGCCCACCAGTTGTTGGAAGAGTCCACGACTCATGGTTAGTTACGTCTATCTTACTTGTGTGTTCTTTCATCTTCCTTTCCTCAAGTCAATCGTCGGCCCCTTCCAACCTCTCCCCCACCGGTGGCTTAACCTCCTCCACCCCTTTCATCCTCTAGCTCTACCACCAAAATCCCACCCGTCAACCTAGCCCCCAACCCGCCACCAAGCCGCCCCCTTCCCCCCTTGCCACTGGCCCCATCATAAGTTTCCCCCTCATTATGTTGATTTCAATCACCATAATGATTTCCTAATTTAGCTCAAGCATGAGAGGGAAAATTTGAATTCTTTTGAATTTCAAATTCTTTCCATATAGAGAATTCCAAATTAGGAAAGTATCAATCATGAATTCAATTTCAAAATAAATCAAATTGGATTCATTATTCCCTTTCCTAATCTTCATCTCCTATTTGGAAACTCACATATTTCTCTCCCCAATCCCCTTCCCCCCTTGTGATGCCGCCGGCCCCATGATGGGCTCCCCTCATTAAATTCTCAAATTATCCCTAAACCCTATTTGAAATTTGAATTTAATTTCAAAACTTTTCCCTCCAAATCCACTAAAACTGAAATTAATTTCAGTTTATCTATTTCCCCTCACCCTCTTTCAAACCCTAGCCACCTCCCCACTTCCTCAAGCCGTTCCCCCCTCTCTCCCCTACCCAAGCCGCCGCCTCCCTCTCCACCTCCCTCTTTTCTCCCCCTACTTGTACTCTCTCCTCTCTCACGTCAATGGTGCATGGCCGATCCTGAGATCAACCATGGATTTTTATTCGACGAGCAAGGAAGGACGGACATACTTGGATCTCCGTTCTTTGACGTCTTCTTCGGCAACGACGAAACGGTTGAAGGCTACATCGACCGCATCTTGTACCAACTGACCTTATCAATTGAAGAGTATCTTCCACCAAGCCGTTGGGTAATCGTCGGTCACCCACCACGTCCTCCACCGTCGGCTACCGCTCCGTCAACGAAGGTCATCGGCGCCATCTTCCTAGTGGTAATATCTTTCTTCGTATGGTTCATTTTTCTCCGCTAAGCCTACGAGTGATTGAGTGAGAAGGTCCTCAAGGTGAACCTCTCGTTGTTAAGTGTTGGATTATATTATGTGTACTTAGCATTTACTCTTGTCTTGAACTTTGATTGAATTGTTTGGTTAATCACAATCGCACTTCTTTGGCCTAAGCAAAATTCTTAGCTCTCTTTTATGTGCAAGCAATAAATTTTCTTTGGCCAAGTTCTTATCGATTGTTCCTTTTTAATTTCACACGTAACTCCTAGTAGTTTCACATCAATAAACATCCCAATAAATCCAGACTTTAAATAGAATTTTATAGAAACACAAAAATTTTAAAATAAATTAACCTAAACGTTGAGAAATATCAAACGTACCAAGATGACCAGTTTGATAATTAACACCACAATAAACTCATTAGGATTAAATTCAAAATCCATAAAGAAAAAAGTCCTCATACTCAAATATTGAACCTTTGCTATATAATTGACAGTATCTCAAACGAGTTCGTGCTAAAACTATTTTAGAAAGAATGGAGTATTACAAATAACATCACATCCCCAAAGCATATTAGCATTGTCATTTCTTTTAATCAATCAATAAAACTTATGTTCAAAGAAACTTGGCAATGAAAAAGTCGATGTAGTTTTAGTAGTCGTCTAAAAAAAAACTAAAAAGAGGGATGTAAAGTGATTAAGAATGATGAGTTTCATTTATCAATAAAATTAATATAAAACATTTGAAACCAACAAATAAGAAATAACAGCAAAAAAATATAATTTTATTACCACAACAGAAGATAAAGGCTTCAACAATGTATTTGTTAATATCATATAAAGATGCAATCATATATACCAAATCTTCGTATTGCCAACTTAACAAAAGAAAATAATTATAAAAAGCTTGTCGACGGTACCAATATCCCAGTCAATGCCGTAATCCTGGATATCACGAGCGGCAGCTTACTTAATTCATAGTCTGTCTGAATGCTCTTTCTCCGCACACTCTCCTTTATATCTTCAAAAATTCTGTCCACCCTTTTTAAATGAAAAATGGTAAGAAAATAAATAATAAGATCTAGAGGAATTAGCAAGCCTAAACAAAATAACAAAGCTCACCACAAGCGGCCTTCTCTATCAAATTCCAGTATGGCCAACAAAATTGCCCTCACGCTGTAATAACACTCCTCAACAGCATATTTCATGTACTCGTCCCTAGAAGTTCTATCCCATAGTTCATCTTGGGAATCTTTGTATTCTGCTGCAATATCCTTAGCCCTAAAAATCTATTTTAACCAAAAAAACATTAAGAATCAATTTCTGACATTAGAAATCAACATAATTCATATAATTACACAGAAAAAGAACAATAATAATTAAAAAAAAAAAAGAATCGTACAGTAAAAGCATTTCACCTTGCTAGCCAGAAGAAACAAGGGCCATTGGACCAGAGGAATAAATGAAGAATTTTTTGGCATAAGAAGTAAATCCAATTCCCTGTTCAGAAATTAAAAAGTAGAATGCTATAAAACTAGAGATGCTTTATAATACCATGCAAAGAAGCCTTGCAAAAAAAAAGGCTTTTATGACGTTATAACTTCAACTCACAAATTCGTTATATAGTCTTCCTCTCGCAAATTTTTAATAATTTCATTCCAGAATGGTGCAAATCTAGCAGCATCAAACTTCTTTAGCTCCTCATTCTACACAAATTAATTGAAGTAATTAGAAAATAAATCAGTGTTTTTGAAATAATTACTACTAAAAAGAGTATTAGAACTCAAAAGAGTACTAAAAAGAAAACATTCAACAAATAAAGTGTGTTGCAGAACACTTGTGGAGTATACAAATTAAAGTTCAAAAATATCAGTTGCAGAAATTATGCTGTAGTTAGTCAGGATAAAATCATTAGCGTTTGACAATAGGTTGGTTGACAAATTTTACAGTCTACGATCATGACAATATTCAACGTCCAAAAGATCTAATGCATGCACCAATGATCTTGAAGAAATGTGCGATCCTTTATTCCACGGTTTCTATAGTAAAGTGCAGTAATCATAAGTTATTCCTAGTTCTAAAAAATCCAAATAAATGGGAAATAAAGCTTAAACCTAATAATTTCTAGCAATAGCAACAATTAAAAAGTATAATCACCGTCATTTTTTTACAAATGTATCTCTGAAGTTCACATTTTTGAAACCCCATAAGTTAATAAAAACTAACATGTGCCAAACTAAATCAAACAGGTTTTGTCAAGACAAGGTCTAATGTTCAGCAGCTCATTTTAAAAATATGTTACAACACCTCCTTTTTCCTCTCCACTACTACTGTCAATAACCGCTTTGACAGTCTCTAGAACATTCCCTTCTCTGCTTATATACTCATGCACTGTAGCCATATTGGTTATGATGAATTAATATATCATCTTCCAGCTGCTAGAACAAATCTTTTCTCTTCCTCCTGCTTGTTTCCTGTTTATTCTTCTAACACTTGCAGGTACTCTATTATGGTATCAAAGCCTTAGTGCATCCGCACGGTACACTCAGTTCCAATGGGAGACAAGGTTCATCTTCTAATACCTCAGCGACGTCGTCTCTATCGGCATCCATGGCCGATTTCACTGTACCGACACCGGTAAAGTTTCTGATGTCCAACTTGGAATCTATCGTCAATGTTCAACTCTCTAGCGATAACTACGCTATTTGGAGACTTCAGATCTTCAAATCCTTCTCCGCAAATGGATTTGAAGGCTATCTAACCGGAAAGCTGCCTTGCCTGCCGGAGCCAGCACCGAACACAGTAAACGCCGATTATCGGCTTTGGAAACTCATAGACCAAAATTTGGTCTCAGCATTATTATCTACTATATCGCCCTCAGTCTTACTGATGCGGACATCAGCACGAAAATCTGGCGCATCTATCACAGGAGGCGTCGTAAATCGACGGCTCTGATTTAAGTTGTCATTTATGAATTATTTTTTGCATTTTAGTTTCTATTTTATGTTATTTCCGATTTTACCCCTAGGTTAATTTATTTGAGTGTTGTGGCCCAAGGGGCAATTTTGTAATTTTTTATTTTCTCATGTTGTGGCCTATATATAGGGCCTTTAGCTATTGTAATAGGAGGATGGTTAATGGATATAAAAAATTTTGTTTTCCACACTTGTGTTCTTCTTGTGAGAGAGCGTTAGTGAGATTCCTATGAGAGGAATCGAAGTTGTCACCAGCTGCAGGATGGGTCCGGGCTCGTGATTTGAAGTCCTTGGAGAAGGGCAATCGTATCACCCACCAACCTTGGAGACGACCGGGTTCGTGGTTTTCTCTTTGCATCTTTCGTTTTATCTTCTATCATTTGCTTTGTTCCATCTTCCTCCTCTCCATCTTCGTTTGGCCAACGGATTCATCTCTACCCGAAAACCCCTCCTCTTTCTCCAAACCCCACGGCCTCCAATTGCCCCAAGCCCCTTTGCCGCCGGCCAAGGCCACAACCGCCGACCCCCTCATCTCCCTAGCCGCCGACCACTCCCCTCCTTTCTTCCAACCAAATTTATTTCCTATTTTAGATTAAATTGAATGTGGGAAGATTTGAAATTCGAAATTCATCATGGCGAATTTTCAAAATCTTTCCTAGTTTAAATAGTCTATTTTAGGAAAGTTTCTTAATTAACTCAATTTGAATTTCAAATTCAAATTGAGTTTAATTGAGCCCTCTACCATCTCATAAATCTCCTCTTTGGGTATGAATTAATTAAGGGATAATTCTTGAAATTCAAATTTCGTTGAATTTGAATTTCAAAATTATTTCCTAAAAATAATTCTCCTATTTTGGAAAGTTTTTATTTTAATCTAATTTGAAATTGAAATTCAAATTGGATCACAAATAATACTTTCCAAAATCTTATACCTATTTTAAAGAGCCTTATTTATTTTAATCAAACTCCCGCTTGGCTTATCCCTGCCGCCGGTCATTAATTAGGAAATAAGAGCTCTCTTCCTCCAAAAGCTGCAGCCAGACGTCTCAAGCCATTCATTCCTTCCAAAATCCGGTGCAGTTATTTCCCTTGGGATAAATTTCCAAAAAAAAAAAGCTGATGTTGTGGCCAAATTCCCTCAAGTTCTTTTCTTGGGTTTTCTCTCCACAAATCCCTCTCTCACTGTTAGCTGAACTTAGGAAATCTTTCCTACATTAAGCCTCTTCATCCCGCTGGCTGAAATTAGATTTTCCCAAGCAAGCTCTAATCTATTTCCTAAACCGGCAATTAGATTTTGGAATTAATTTCTTCCCAAGCCGTTATTTCCCTTCCCAAAACTGAGAGCATATTCAGGAAGAAAACCCCTATTTTCTCTCTTCATCCCGCTGGCGGCAATACTGGAATTTCCTCTCAGTTTTTCTGTGAGAAAAATCTGAAAATAAACAGATTTTCTCCCTGCTACTGGCCGAGAACTTCCTTTTCTCCTCAGTTTCGTCCTGCATCACTTACCTTACATTGTACATCTTTCCACTGCATCCGAGATATGGGCAACTTTTGAGATCCGCCTCCAGCCGACCAACAGGTCTCGGGTAATCCAATTGAAGCACGAGCTTCATAACATCAAAATGGGCAGTCAATCGATTACCCAATACCTCACAAAAGTGAAGACGCTCATCGAAAACATTGTCGCAGCTGGATCCAATGTTGATTCTGAGGACATCATCATTTTCATCTTAAACGGCTTACCACGAACATATAATCACTTAAAAGCCGCCATACGGACCTCCCCCCACCCTCTCAACCTTGAAAATTTGTACTCATTATTGTGTAGTGAAAAAATACACATCAAGAATGAGTTACAACGGGATCTTCACAATCCCTCTGATACCCAGGCATTGTACACGACTCGCAATCCACCTCCCCAAGACAGAACTTCATTGGCTAAAACCAGTCATGGACGAGGATCGCCTTCTGCAAACAAGTTTGTATCCAGCCGACCTCCCCCAGCAACAACCACAACCCGACCTCAATGCCAAATATGCGGTAAAACTGGTCACACCGCTTTATCGTGCTGGCACCGCTGCAATGTGCAACAGTATGCTCCACCGCCTGCTACAGCACCTCGAGCTTTCATCTGTTAGGATTTATTCTGGCAATGGTATCAATATAGGGATGGCATACACCAAATTAAAGTGAGACACAATGAAATTTGGTTTTCGCATTTTCAGCGAAATCCAATATTGTTTTGGAAGTTTACAAGTTTAATCTTTTTTTTTTTTAATTATGTTTCTGTTACGCCGGCCCAGGAGGGGCCGGCTGGACCGGTCTAGCCAGGACTAGTCCAAGTTTACACCAGGCGAACGCTGGCTGTACGGAAATAGCAAGGGGTGGCGGCAGCCCCTGTGGGCCCCACTTGGGAGTAAATCAGTTTTGGGAGGAAAATTTTTGAATGAGGGGCTGTTTTAGGGAATTTGCAATTTTCCTTGGTCTTTAATTAGGAGTTATGGTGAGAGTTTGGCTCTCATCTTGAATTTGAGATCTAGGTTTTCTTACTTGGGCTCTTGGCATTGCTGGAGATTAGAGAGTTGTTCTTCCTCTCAAATAGAAGAACAATTGTATCTTGCTTATTTTTATTCATCCACTAGTGAAATACAAGTCTTTACTTGAGTTTCTGTCAGTTTTCTCGCTAGATCTCGCTGTTTCTATGTGATTTCCTGCTGTCCACTGCAGAAAACAGCAGTTTTCCTGCTGTTTTCTACTCCAATTGTGATTAGGTTTGCTAGCAATCTCAAGTATTCCCTAGGGTTACTTGCGAACTCAAGTATTTCCTATCAGTTTCTTGTGCTTCATTCAGCACATATTGTGAACATTCTAAAAAATCCGCCCCCTCGATACATCCTTAAGCCTCTCACAAACACGAATTCCAAGAATAATTAAATATGTCCAAACTAAATCACCTTGACCTAGTTTTCCTTTTTTCACATCCTTTAGCTTCTAAACCACCAGAAATTTCAGAAACACTCAAGATCATATCTAAATATATTACCTTAGCATTCTTGAGTGGTTCCAAACTTTGGATCCTAAACCATAAGAAACATGAGATCAAAATCCCAAAGGGAGCGATATGGGTTGGCCATTACCTAAACCTTTGGTCAACCCATTCCTTTTAACCACTATCTCAAATAAAAATAATTCCAACCCCTCAACAATATTCTCCAAATCGTTATCGACCCACCACAAGTTAAAGCATTGGATCACCCAGTCCAAGGCTATGTTGAAGGGGATGTTTTGTAAACGCATATTTATGAGGTTATTCTAGAATAAGCAAATGCTAAAAAAGTTCCAAACTAGGTTTTCAGGATTTTCTCTTAGCACTAGTAAGCTAAGCATAGCTTTACCTCACTCGGGCATATTTGGGGAACATTTTCACTGCTTTGCTGTTTAGATCGCTACCATGCATCTATTGGCCACAGTTTTCATGGTACTTTTAAAATATCTCTAATGAAAGAAGCTATTAAAATTAGATCTATTACAGAATCGTACACAAACAAAAAAAGATCTATCCACTAAAGCATTAACACTCCGAATGCTTTCAGCTAAATGATAAGGCTAATGTGAATCAAAATCAACAATTTCTACACAAATTAGCGAATGATGAAGGACTACTGCAGTAGGAGAATAAAAATCTCTATCTTGTTTGTAAATGTTGTCGTGACTGTTGCGGATGAGGAGTAAACACCACAATGACAAAACACGCACGAAGCAAAAGCAGCGGAAAGTAAAGACACCATGATTTAACATGGAAAAACTGAAAATTACAGAAAACCCACTGAACCACACCACACAAAGAAATCCACTATGAAAATTGGGAGAAATAAGTACAAATATCTCTTTTCTCTTGCTCTCTTCCTGCCTCTCTTCTCACATGCACCTTTCTCAATGTCTAACCACTCAAAAATACAAGAGAAAGCCAAGTAAATAACCCTAAGGGAAGCAACCCTTCAAAACAACAAGAAAGAAAGCTATCCAGTCTATCTTGCAGCACTGCGGCGCAAGTTTGGAGTACTGCGATGCCTGAACCTTTGTCTTAATCCGCTGCAGCGCCGTGTCTATACCACTGCGGCGCTCTACTCTATGTTGTTCAGAGTCAGGGCGCTCGGGTGCGCAACGCTAGGCCGGGCCGGGTACAACCGAACCCAAGAAGAGGGTAAACCCCCTGCACCCCCAGCGAACACAAGAAACTTAAGGTCTGAGGCAATAGAACAACCCGATTGATCAACACAATCAGATTCCATACATAACACTAACCATATCCATGAAGCTAGGAATGATAGGCTAGGCAAGCTTTGATTCCAAAAGAAAGTGAAAAATTGGTTCAAATTTCTATATGCAAACATTATCTAATGAAAGATGACCAACAAACATGGTGATTGAATTAGGATCTAATCTTTTTGTGCGAACTCCATATGCCTAGAAGTTTGATTTCCTCGAATTTGAATAAGACTTGAAAAATGTTAAGTAATTGTGCCCAAATATTTTGCTGGAGGATCAATAAGATATAATATCATCCAATTCAACAAAAACGTTTGCCACAAATGCCCAAATTGACGAGTCATGGCGGCAGCATCGACTTGTAAATATTTACTATATTTCAAACTCTAAATTCGTTGAAAAAATATAAATGAAACGGGAAATCCAACCCAAACAAGAGGGATAGGTGGTTTCTTGGAGAATCAAAATGAGGAGTCATTTCAGAATACACATCACATTGTCCCTGACATAATAGAATTGCCAAGAGAACAACCTAGTCAAATCCGCATAGAATCATTAATGAAATTTATGGATCATTACCAACTTTTTTTCCCAAATTATTTTGTCTAATTTTAGGATTTGCAAACCTTTGACTGAGGAGAAATGCAAATTTATAGAAAGAAATAGCCTTTTCAGCACTTGAGCGCTTGAAATATCTAACATTCAACAAAGGGTCATATTCATAAGCAGATAATCCTAATTAATGCCTATTTTTAATTGATAATATACATAGATGCCACTTTTGAGACCACTAAAAAACTAAGCCTAGGTGAAATGAAAAAACACTACGGACCAAATTTTAGGATTCTTAAAAATAAGGACCATTGTGAAGACTGATCAGCCTTAGAGAACCCGGTGTAGTAGTTTACCTCATAATATCTTTTTTAAGAAGACTAAATTCACTTATATACCAAGCGCAATGCAGCAACCATGCCTTTAACATAAATAAATAAGTTTCCTTAACAGCTAGCATTAAGGATGTCTAAAAAAATTTGCAATTGAAATCAAATTAGCATGGATTTGCAGTCACCTGGCCAGAAGTTTTAAGCTCCTTCCTGCACAATTTGAAGACTGGATTTAGGAGGTATAACAATATGTGAAGAAAAGAATCCAATGAGAATTGGAAGAAGTTAATTGTACCTTCTATGCAGGGATAAGTGAAGCTTCTCCATATAAGCTGTAGGAAACTCCTCAAACAACTTGTGAACAGCATCCACGGATCTAATCTGAACAGAGATGAAGGGATATAAGGATGGAGTTCAACAAGGATATTGCAACGTGAGATGCAACCATAGTATCAAAAAGCAAATCATATTTAGATAAGCCTCACAATAAAATTTCAATATGGATTTGACCACACACATCAAAGATAACTAATTCAGCATCGTATTTAAAAATAAAGAGTTATAAAACCTCAAATAATTCACCAAGCAATTGCTAAAAACCGTAATGAGCATTCTGCAAATACTAAAGTAAGAGGAAAAAGGCTTTAATATCATTAAACTAACTCGATTTTAATTCTTTTAGCTTGTGTGGCATAATAAACCGAACAAACTCCCAGAATAAAGGAATCTATACATACGCTTGCCTAGAAGGCTGAATTTGAAAATATAACAAAAAAAGCACAAGAATCCCAGTCAAACGCATAAAAATAATTATAGCATGTCAAAAGCACTTATTAAAGCCTCCAATCAATATTTTTTTTATTCAAGAGCACTTGCCTCTCCCAAACGGTCCCTTGCCCCAAGAAGAAAACCATAAACAGCTGAAAATACAGTGTAGAACAACTGGATATCTAAGAGATAAATCTGCAAAGTGAAAAAAGGAGGAAAATAGAGAGAATTAGTGGATAACTCCATTGAAGAAGTCTTGATAAGTCTAAATAGGGTGAAGTATATTTGCTATGCATTTCAAACTTCAAACAATAGTACGTACGCAAAGTTATTACGATGCATCAATACTCACACAGAAAACTGGTGCCCATAAACTGAGAATTGTAAGAGCATTGTGATTATCTGTAAAGAAGGTTGTTTTGTAAACAGAAGGTTGTTAGGATCACGAAAAAAATAAACTCATCAAATAAGATGCAAGAGCAAATTTATTAAGGCACCTTGAAAGACATTGACAGGTGCCTAGCTTCTGTGATTTGCAAAACCCCATAACTGTTCTTGTTTTTCCAATAGGAAGCAAGACAATAACTAATGTACTAGATGGACCTTTGAAAGAGGTATGAAAGAAGCTATCACTCCCCCTTACAACAAAGTATGCCAATACCCCTAAAAGATGCATGCAAATGAAAAAAAATTCTCCACGAAAGTTTGGCAGATGACTCAGAATACATATAATGCAAATCTGGAAGCCATCATTCATTGAAGATGCAAATTGTGTTGATATTATTTTAGCTATCCCTATGTTTTATTTTTAGTATTTGAGCTTTGTATTTGAACGTAATCATGCCTATGAAGTTAGTGCCTCCAATAATGGAAATGTGCTCTAGCATTTTGATTAGCTAAATTAATTCAGCCTAGGACTTCCTAGGTGATGTAGGAAAAGGGGGGTCAAATCAAACCCAAAAATATTTGGTTTTGACTTCCCTTGAGCTTACTAGCTCAATAAATTTTGAGCTGGAATTTAGCTCATTTATGAGCTGATTTTTTAGTTCATTTATTGAACTAAAGGTTAGCTCATTATTAGCTATGTTTTAGCTCATTAATTATCTTAATTATGTAATTTTTATTTATAACTTTTTATCTCTTAAATTTTAGTTTGTCCATTGGGTTTCCAAAGATGGCTTTTGGATTTCCTGTGCTTGTTGTTTTCCGTGCTTGGCTCATTAGCTTCCACGGGTGGCTGTTTTCGTGCCTTGGCTCCTTGGCTTCCTCGGTGGGCTGCTGGTTTTCCGTGCTGGGTGGCCTTTCCTGTGCCTTGGTGCCTCAGTTCTGTGCTGGCCTTATTGGTTCCCGCGGCTGCTCTTCGGTTCCCGTGGCTGGGCTGTTTCCCGTGAAATGATGGGGGATTTTCCGTGGTTTGTGTTGCTTGGATTCCTGTGGGAATTCAATTATGTGGCTGTTTGTATTCCCCTTTCATTTTATATATATATATATATATATATATATATAGCTTTGTCCACCTTCTCATCTCCTCTAGGAAAGACTTGCGAGTGCTTTCCACCCTTCTTCTCGGCTCCTAACCTCTTTCGTCTCGCCGCAAGTTTACACCCCACCTACATCCTTCTTCTTTTCGAAAGCTTCTTTAAGGTGTCTTGGTTGAGTCGAACTTGTAAGTGTTTTTTTTTTTTTTAATTTGAAATGTAAGAGTTTGTTCTTCCCTATAATTAGCTAAGTGTGTTGTCTTGTCTTTCTTTTGTGATCAAGAACTTTTCTTGGGGTCCCTCTCCCCAGGGAGGATTTTTTGCTCGCATCATTTTTGGTATCAGATCAAGTTAGGAAGTCCTAGGATTTTAAGTTGGTTTGTCAAGTCAAGTCTTGTTGTAAGTCTTGGAAGTCTTGTTGTGAGTCTTGTGAGTCTAAGTTTTTTAGGTTGAGTCTTTCTTTGGGTCTTGTTTTTTGAATCATTTAAAAAATGAAAAAAGACAAAAATATGGCTTCGTTCAAGGAGGAAATCAATCCAGACAATCCTGATGTCCCTCTTCCATTGGACAGATGGATTCCTACAGAAAGTGATTCCACATATCCGCTTCAAGACCGATTATACAAGCTTCAATATCACATGTTCTTATGTGATCAAAAATTTGAGAAGTGTAAGACATATCTACAAAGGCAGTTCGAGAAAGAGAAAGAAGACATTTTGAAAAAGTTTGGAGAAAAGATCAAAGAGTTGGATGCTCCGTCTTCACCTCCTCAGAAGAAAACAAAAGCTAACTCATCGGGAGATGAGTTCTCAAGAAGGGGAGTCTGATGTAGGCAAAGGGGGGGTCAAATCAAACCCAAAAATATTTGGTTTTGACTTCCCTTGAACTTACTAGCTCAATAAATTTTGAGCTGGAATTTAGCTCATTTATGAGCTGGTTTTTTAGTTCATTTATTGAACTAAAGGTTAGTTCCTTATTAGCTAGGTTTTAGCTCATTAATTATCTTAATTATGTAATTTTTATTTATAGTTTTTTATCTCTTAAATTTTAGTTTGTCCATTGGGTTTCCAAAGATGGCTTTTGGATTCCTTGTGCTTGTTGTTTTCCGTGCTTGGCTCCTTGGCTTCCACGGGTGGCTGTTTCCGTGCCTTGGCTCCTTGGCTTCTCGGTGGGCTGCTGGTTTTCCGTGCTGGGTGGCCTTTCCCGTGCCTTGGTGCCTCGGTTCTGTGCTAGCCTCTTTGGTTCCCGCGGCTGCTCTTCGGTTCCCGCGGTTGGGCTGTTTCCCGTGAAATGATGGGGGGTTTTGCGTGGTTTGTATTGCTTGGATTCCTGTGGGAATTCAATTGTGGTTGTTTGTATTCCCCTTTCATACCTATATATATGAGGGGTTTTGTAATGTTTAAAAAGAGTGATAAATGAATTTTTGAAAAGAAATTCTTGGGATTTTCTTGGAGGAGCTTGCGAGCTTTGTCCACCTTCTTCTCATCTCCTCTAGGAAAGACTTGCGAGTTCTTTCCACACTTCTTCTCGGCTTCTAACCTCTTTCGTCTCGCCGCAAGTTTAAACCCCACTTGTATCCTTCTTCTTTTGGAAAGCTTCTTTAGAGTGTCTTGGTTGAGTCGAACTTGCAAGTGTTTTTTTTTTTATTTGAAATGTAAGAGTTTGTTCTTCCCTATAATTAGCTAAGTGTGTTGTCTTGTCTTTCTTTCTTGGGGTCCCTCTCCCCAGGGAGGATTTTTTGCTCGCATCACTAGGTCTATCTGATACCAAATATTAGCACACAATCAATCCTCAATTCTTTTCCATCAACAGATTTGAATATTCACTATCTGGTGAAGGTATTGGTAGTACTGTTGAAATTACTCCTGTTGTCTGCCACTGATAGATTGTCGTTTGTAGTTTGTTTACCGTTCAAAACATTTATGGACTTTCGCTGCCCTCATTTTTTTCTTAAACGTTCTTACTATAGCATGGAAGACAGAAGTTTATTTCATTTTACAGCTTTATTATGGTAGTTGTATTCACTGTTTGGTTTCCTTCACAGGTATAGGACCAATAGTCAGCTAATTGCTTCATTTCTTTCTTTCAATTTCCTTCATTGGCACAGTACGAATTGTCAGTTTTTTGCTTCATTTCTTTCTTTCTATTGCAATGTAGCTGAAATTAAGGAATTGCTGAAACTAAGACTTTTGGAGTCAGAAAAAAATTTATTTCTTTTAAAATTAAGATTCAAAACTTCTTGTTCAAGCAGAAATTTGTACTAAATCAAGGCTTGTCATATTAGGCCACACCATGGGGGACTGAGAACTTATTTTGAGCTCCTTTGGTATATATAAATATGGATGTAACATTAACACTGAAAGAAGGAATAGTTGAATAAAATTCATGTTGCCACATAAGCTTTGTGAGTTTTTGCAAAAGAATTCATATAGTGCTTTACAAGTCTTGAAAATAACTCAGTGGATGATTCTTCTTGTATAAGCAAGAGAGCAAGGTCCTAATCAATATAGAATTTTACTTCAATTTTTCTTTCATGGTGTGAATCTTAATCGATATAGAATTGTATCTTGGTTATAATATTCTTCTAGAATTTCAAATTTTAGCAATGTTTAAATTTCAGTATAAAAGAATAAAATATGTTCGATAGTTTTGTTACAAATTTGACTAATATTTCCTTGAATCGAAAATTCAAATAAGTGAATTGTGATTTTTTTATAGTTCTTCATGCATTTCCTCCAATGCCCACGATATTTACCCTAGATCCTAAAACATTGAACATCAAATTAATGTCTAGATAATTTTTATTTTTTTTTAATGTCTAGATAATATTGTTACATCATCATGTCAACTAAATAAATGATTGACTTGGATCAAAATGACTAAAAGTGAACTCAACTTCAGAGTCAATTATTGACTACCAAAGGGATGAGATTTTAATTAACTTATAAAATTAAATAATGATTTCTAGCAAGATCTACATCGATACAAATTATGTGTAATCAAATCTGAAGAGGTCGAAGATGATATAGATTATGAATATTTTTTAGAGAAGGCTTTATATGCAAAAAAAAGTTTGTTAAAACATGAACTTACAATTGATTTTGTTAAATTTGAATATGTACTTCATATAATACCTGCACCTATAGAACCTGGTAAGACTCTTCCTTGCACCTAGGTATGTTTTAAATTTGAAACGTTGAAGTCTAGAATGGAGTAAAAAAGTTTGAAATGCAAGTAAGAAAATTCCCTCAATCAGTGCTTCAGCACTACGCCTTGGAGCATTGCGGCCTACCCTGCCTGTGATGAGGACATCGAAGATCAACGGCTACGATCGTGTCTATTTATTTTCATGTATTTTATTTATTATTTGTACTTTTCCATTTATACCCTCACTTGAGGGCTTTGTTTTATGTTTGCCCTAGGGGCAATTGTGTCTTTTTTTATTTTCCTTCATGTATTGGCTATTTAAGCCCTCCCCTTCCTCTTGGAAAGGGATGATGATTATTGAATGAAACTTTTATGCATTTCCTCCAATGCCCACGATATTTACCCTAGATCCTAAAACATTGAACATCAAATTAAATGTCTAGATAATTTTTATTTTTTTTAATGTCTAGATAATATTGTTACAATCATTCATGTCAACTAAATATAATGATTTGACTTGGATCAAAATGACTAAAAAGTGAACTCAACTTCAGAGTCAATTATTGACTACCAAAGGGATGAGATTTTAATTAACTTATAAAATTAAATAATGATTTCAGCGAATCTACATCGATACAAATTATGTGTAATCAAATCTGAAGAGTCGAAGATGAAATAGATTATGAATATTTTTTAGAGAAGGCTTTATATGCAAAAAAAAAGTTTGTTAAAACATTGAACTTACAATTGATTTTGTTTAAATTTGAATATGTCTTT